GCAACTCTCGAATGTTCATACGGCGTTCTTCCTCAGCACGAAGGCATATCAGGGTCTCTACCGTACGGAAAAAGTACGGATGCACTGAAAAAGCATGGAATTTGAAAGGTCTGTACAGAAGTACGGAAACGCACGGATTTTTTGTGTTGACGTACGGAAAATCGAGATACACGTGAAGGAAGAGCCTTATAATGCTACAGTTTTTATTCATAACTCATATGACGTTCTTCTGAAATCTCAGTTCGTTGCTGCATTTTTCAGATCATTACTCTAGATTTCCCGGATTCCACCTATCAAATCTGAGTTTCTTTTTATTTTGCGAAAACATGTCCGTGTAAGTGCTCAAAATGTGTTTCAGTTAAGGAAAAAATGAGGTCAGTGTAATGGAAAAACGAAGATATCGGGGAAATTCTTGAACAGAGGAATTATTCGCAAAGCATAGGAAAGCAAGCGGAAAAAAGTGTTAGAGATGTATCCTCTAAACTTGTGGTCCTACCCGAATGGATTGGAGATCTCCAATACATTCAAGACTTTAATTTAAGTGGAATAGTGATTTTTCGTGAGTTTTGATCCATGACCACCCCTTAATTTTTTTTTTTTTTAAAACAAACGATTTCCCATAAACTGTAGGAGGGCCGTAGCTTCAACTNGGGGGGGGGGGGGGGGGACTTTGTCGAGGAAAAAAGTCTCTTTTTCACCTATAAAACTCGCTCACGTATTCTGACTGTTTAAACCGCGTATACCCCGTATACATTGCTCCCTTTAGTTGTACTTAATTTTTGCACTAAGGAACTACAATTTTTGGCTCGTACACAAAAACACGTATCTGCGTAGGGAAACTAATGGCGCTTTTGCTGTTTCAAAAAGTCTTTTTTTGACCTATAAAACTCGCTCACGTATTCTGACTGTTTAAACCGCGAACACCCCGTATACATTGTATACTCCCTAATTGTACTTAATTTTGCAATAAGGAACTACAATTGTTGGCTCGTACACAAAAACACGTTTCTGCGTAGGGAAACTAATGGCACATTTGCTGTTTCTCAACTGAGGCGGAAAATGTAGTTCTTAATTGCGGAATGTAGTCCAATTAATGCCTTTTATGAATGCGAACAAAAAATGCCGAGTTCTGAATTGATGGAGTAATGCAGAGGCTCCCCTTCAACCTATTCCTTCTCCAGCGCGAACTTTTAAAAAATGTAGGTTATTGGGTAATCAATAAAGCATGCATATTCATTCGAAAAGCGTATTAACATAGGATTAATTAGCATACTTTCCCCCCTTCCCGGACAAACACTTGATAATTACATGCCTGCGAAGGTCGCGCCAACACTTGAATCCTGAAGTATCCATTACAGCATGTAGAATGATACGTCGGGAATGTTGAGAGAGATTTTGGCGAAGATCAGATGGACGTTTTTATGCTGAAAGGAACTATGTGCATAGGGATTGCGTGAGACATAGTTCCTTTTGGCATAAACACGTTCAGATGGAGCAAAAGCTGAGTCACAGCCATAACCCGTCGAGTGGGATGTCGAGCCGAGCAAATCTGTTGCCAACTTGTGCATCGGAAACCCAATTTCACTCGACCTTTTCCAAAGGAAAGGGAAAATAAGAGCCCGCATTGAATAGGGAAAGTGCGTACCCGCAATTTTTTTCAGCCAATCACCGACCTGTTTTTCATTTGGACGTATTTCTATCAAACGGAACTATGTGCATTATGACGTGAGCCCTGTTATGCACATATTCTTATGGGTCTCAGGGCTCATGTCTTAATGCACATAGTTCCGTTAGATAGAAATACGTCCATTTGAGTCCCTTCATACTGAGAGTTAAGGCAACGGGAATCCATTTATGATTGGTTCCCGTATTATAGGCCTCCACAGTTTCATAAAAGGGGATAAAGATAACATGTTCACCAATTGCAATGATTATAATCTGGAATGGACCAGGGAATTACGGGTTCGGCAAGGAGCAAACGGAATGAGAGAAGGAATGGAGAAAGGAATTTGAGAATGGGCCGATCAAAGATTACGAAAAACTTTCAATTCGTGTAATCTTTATTCCCGTTTGTGACGCGAAGAGGGGAAGGGGGTTGTTTTAAATCTCAGTATGAAGGGACTCTATTTTTCATTTCTCATGGTAAATAACACGGGAAATCAAAACCGTATATTTTGTCGAATTCAGTGAATTTTTCGGTAAAAACATTCTCACGACTGACTTCGCGCGGATTTGACGTTTGCACTGGAAAAAAAAAAAACACATTGGATCTAGAGTCTAGACTCTTAAAAACATCGACAAGAAAAAATACTCTTGATTCAATCGGATTTTTGCTTAAATTAAGAACCAAGCCTCTTAATTTGAGCGGATTTCCTTTTGATTTAAGCTTAAATCTGATTGAATCAAGAGTATTTTTTCTTGTCAATGTTTTCAAGAGTCTGCACTCTAGATCCAATGTGTTTTTTCTTCCAGTGTGTATTGATGAATACGTTCCTCTTACTCCAAAGAACACCAAAGATCTTGATTTTTGAAATTTCAAATTGCATCCAATCGGGTCGACGTTTTTGACCTGGGGGCCGATGAGACAGTCAAAAACATTCATCTGAGTGATGCGCTTACCAACCTAGCTTGATGTGAGTTATCAGGAATGATGGGCCACTCGGACAGTTTTCCTTCAATTTAGTGGGTAGGCAAAACAGCATCCTGAATGCTCGAATAGTAGTATCACGCTGTATGCATTCAACAACCTCGTATCGAAGGCTATATTGTAGCTTGATGTGAGTTATGAGAAATGATGGGTCACTCAGGCAGTTTTCCTTCAATTTAGTGGGTGGGCAAAACAGCAACCTTGATGCTCGAATAGTGGTATCACGTCTTATGCCTTCAACAACCTCCTATCGAAGGCTATCTGCTTACTAATCTAGCATGATGTGAGTTATGAGAAATGGTGGGCCACTCAGGCAGTTTTCCTTCAATTTAGTGGGTAGGCAAAACAGCTTCCTTGATGCTCGAATAGTGGTATCACGCTTTATGCCTTCAACAACCTCTTATCGTTGCTTTGAGGATTTTAGAATCCTGGATAGCGCTCTCTGTCAAACGGAACTAAGCGCGATGGAAAAGCGTTGCAAGTATAGGAGCATCGCGTTCCACAACACCCGCCAATCCAAGCCCCCCTCTCCCTTCCTCCACCTATGGCGCTTAGTTCCGTTTGATAGAAATACATCCAATTGTGCTTACGATGTTTTTGCTCATCGCGAAATGTGGTGTAATTTCCACCGGCTAACGACAACTCCGCCAACCAAAGTTCCGACCTTCGCCGATGATTTGACAGCCTTTGCATGAGAGCACTCGTTACGCGGAACCAAGGCGTGAGTTGGGGGGGGGAGAGGGAGGGAGGCATATAAGAACATAGACGAGTGCCCTCCTCCCCTTTCTCCCTCCCTCCCTCCCTCCCTCCCTCCCGAAAATTTGCCCTCCTCCGCGTTTGGGCCGCGGGAGCCTTTCACTTTCTGGAGGCCTGTCGCCGTATTCGATCCTATCAACGGCTCGGTTCGGATGTTGAGTGGGTTAGTGCGGTGGCGAGGCGTGAATGATCGATTATCGATATTTCCCAGTTTGAAGCTGTGAAGAATCGATTATTAAGGTGTTCGCTGCGAACACCCTGTCTATCGATCCTTTTCCATAGGCCTAAATGGCAGGGCAATCGATGCATCGCAAAGCACGCCATACGCCACTGTCGAGATTCTGATGCGGATCGTAAGTCATCGTCAGGGAGAGAGCGACTCGGGGGACCGTCTCCGCAGTGATCGGCGTTGAATTACACTGCCGTGTTAAGGGAAAACGCCGTATGAGCCGTCAGGCGTTGCCAGATTTCCCTCGATAAAAACCGAATTCACCGGGAAATTTTTGAATGTTTTGCTTTAAATTTTTCAGACGACATTGTTCGCAATTAAATAAAATTGAGAAACTAGGTTTTGCTTCCCGCCACGAAAAATGTCGCCGATTCCCATAGAGCAGTGCGGGCCTTTACTAATGGATCCATTAGTAACATACCCGCTGCAAAACGACGGGAAAGAGCGTACACTACTAACGTGGTGAACGCTCAAGAGAATTCCGGAATTTTTGACGGACATGGATTGGGAGCACTCAGGGTCGCAAAATTTCATGAAAAATAAAACCTTGAAATTTCACTTGAAATATTTCATGAAATATCAGAAATTTATGAAAGATATTGAAAAATACCGGCTCCTTTCCATAATCTGCATGATGTAAAAATTGTGACTTTCTTCTATTTGTGTGTGTTTTAGTGCGGTTGCATACTTTAGCCTCTGAAAAATAAGAAATATTTCATAGCCTCGTGAAATTTCATCAACTATTTCACTGAAATTTCCAATCTTTCATTTATCTCCTACCACCCTGCGCATGTGACGATTGTTTGTATAAACGAGAGGACTGAATTTATTGGACTTTATCCCACCCAAAGTAGCAAGCCAACTAAAAATTTTAATTCCTGTAGAAACAGCAATAATTATAGTAGCTGAAGTAAAATAAGCTCGAGTATCTACATCTATCCCAACTGTAAATATGTGATGACCTCTTTATGTATATATTATTCTACCTCTCCTCCTCTATTGCTAATGATTAATATATCGTCGCCTACCTGACATAAGGGCGTAACTACAATCTGCGATGAACCCTGGGCTCCATACGATTCAATGCTTTTCCAGGCTCATCTCGTTTATACTCCTATTTTCAAAATTACCTGTAAAGACGTTAACAGCCTGAGTCGCTGAATGTCTCAAAATTATAATAACTAACTAACTCAATGTGTAGTTACGCCTTTATGTGAGCCAAGCGACGGTATATATTATTCTACCTCTCCTTCTCTATTGCTAATGATTAATATATATCTTTCCTTTATCTATTGATTTAATATATTTAAGTTTTTGTTGTTTGTGTACGATTGAGACGGATTTTAACGGGATGACTTTTTGTTTCAGACTGGGCCAGCAGCGGAAACGACGTGGGTGATCGCGGACCACGTGGCGGCGGCCGGTAGCGGGGAGCTCTCGGTGGAGAAGGGGCAGCAGGTGGAGGTGGTGGAGCTGCGGGCCCCCGACTGGTGCCTCGTCCGCCACACCCCCGCCCCCTCGAGCCAGCCGCCCTCCGGCGCCGCCCCCGCCCCCGCACCCACCCTCGAGGGGCTCGTGCCCCTGGCCGTCCTCAAGACCCCACCGGCCCTCGCCACCACCATCTCCAAGACTGTCCAACCCACCTCGCCGTCCAAAAGACTCCCCTCCGAAACGGAATTAGGTGAGTCCCACCTCTCTTTGTTCTTACCAAGACCAATCCACACAGGTCAGTCATTCCCGTGGACGAGTTTTGGTACTCTACTGCGCAGTGACGTACTATTGAGTGCTTGCAATGTATTTCTTATGGGAGCACCCATTGTGACGTACTATTGAGTGCAGCCGAGTTAGGGCCGGGCGGGGAAGTGGCTTTCAAAAAGATGCGCAATGACTGACCTGTGTGGATTGGTCTTGGTTCTTACGCGGATCCAGCAATTTGGCAACACCGGATTTCCTCCACTTAACCCTATGTTAAACAATCGATTCTTGTCGGAGCATCTGCCCCCTCCGGAAATCGATACATTTCCACAGGTTTATATAGAGAAAACACAATGTTGCCAATTTGCTGGATCTGCCAATGTCCTTGCTACCTTATTATCGAGCGCTGGGTGCATAAAGGGCATTTCTTGGTTACAGTGTCCCAAAATCTCAGCGTTTCACCCATTATAATTGATACAAATCTCTATAATTTGTCGTAATTTTTACTGAATATGTGAAATGTTCCGAAAATTGACCCAATGCAATGGGTAAAATAAGAATTAGCACTCGAGATTCCGAAACACAGCAACCAAGAAATGCCGGAAAATGCCAGAAGAAGTAGAAGAAGAAATGCTAAGAAAAGACAGGGCGGGCGGAACACTGCTCCCTTATAAGGAGCCTGCCAAAACTGTTGCAAGGCGGGATTTGATTCAAGTAGACTTTTGTTTTTCTTGCGAGCGGGAAATTCAAATTTGTCGTAACCAATGCTAAACAAAAATGTTAATATCATGGTTGAGAGTTATTTTCAGTAATTTCCGTCGCGAAAATTGTTTTTTATGTGCTTTTTTAAAGAGGAAACATCTATAAGGACGCTTAAATTGTGCCTTGTCTAGTGAGCCGTCATCACTTCCAATGCCCTTTTTTACTGGCTTAAGGCTCGAACAAAATAAAGCTCTTGGTTCCCCTAAACGCCCATGAAATAGTACGTGGCGAACTAAGTTGTTGATTATACTCTCAAGAGGCGAAAAATGAAATATTTCCAGCAATATCCTAGAAGTTTCTTATTAGTTAGGAAGGAGTTAGCCGCCTGTTGATGGCGGGAAGTTTTCCGGACTTGGCAAGCACTCCAAGTTTAGTGTTCGTTATTACAGGCTTCACTAGAGATGCCTGTTTTTCTCTCGAGTTTCATCGCGGCGTTTTATTTCATTTAAGTTTTTCCGCTGAAAAGTAAGGCTTCTTAATGGTCTATTCCCTTGATTTCTCTTTCATCTCCTTCTCTGAGCACGGTGAAGAGGACTGGTGGAATTGCAACCAAAAATAAAAATCGGAAAACGAAGCTCAACGAAGAACGGCTACACCTGCGTGGAAAATATACAGTGGTAACACGGTTGCCTCTGTCAGGGAAAACCGGAAAAACCGGGAAATGTCAGGGAAAATGACGAAAATTATGAAAATGTCAGGGAAAATTTATTAAATCACTTTCATAAGCTTTCTAAAATAAGTTTGATGTTTCGAACTACAAATGCCTGAAAACTATTTTCAGTTATGTCTTCTTAACCATCCGTCACATCTTCAATTGTCAGGGAATTTTACCAAAACGTGTCAGGAAAATTAGGGAAATGTCAGGGAATTAAAATTCTGTGACAACCCTGCTAAGTGTGGGTCTCTTTTCGGTTGCTTTTCTCTCCCGTGCCAACCAATCGAAAGTCGCCCTTCACCACCTGCCTTTCACCAATGGTAGCGTAGCTAACCCACCGAATTCCAAATTTCTCCGGCATCAAAATCCGCCCCCGGAAAGGGTTGAACCGAAACGCGTTACACTTTTCTTTTTCCGGGGGAAACTCATCCCGCGGGGGGAGGGGGGCTGTGTGGACTCCCCCTTGAGCAACGGGTTGTGAGNGGGGGGGGGGGGGGTGTAGGAGCTCGTAATCGTACACGGCCTTGAGTAAGGAGGGTTCCCACGAAGGTCGTCCTCCGCCCATCTCCAACCCCTAACTTCGTCAGCCACTGTTGCCACGTCGAGAAGATTCCCCCGTAGCGACCCCGCGGAAAATCGTGTTTTTCTCGCCGCATCCGGTGGCATTCCAACGTTCCGGGTTGCCAAGTTTCGGGTGAGTACTTGGGCGATGGTGGGTTTAATATACGGGTTTCCCGCGTTTCGGTGGCGCTGCGCGGAGTGTCGCACCGCGATGAGAGATACTGCCCAGCCCGCCCTAATGTGCCCTCTGCCTCGAGCGAGTTCACGAAAAAAGAGCCCCCTGCACCACCCATCGACTTCGTCCGCACCCGCTGTGCACTTCCGAGTTCCTTTTCCGGGAAGAATTAGTGTCGGAAAATTCCGAGGAACCGCGATTCACACCTCCAGGGTTGCCGGCGGGCTAGGAAACTAGGAAAATCAGGGAAACTCAGGGAATTTGTGACGACCGGGAAAATTTAGGGAAATTCAAGGGATTTGTGGGAAAAGTTAGGGAAATTTAAGGGATTCGTGGGAAAAGTCAGGGAATTTCTGGCTCGTCTACTAATCACTAAAACATCACTGGTAAAAAAAAACCTCTTGGACCAATGCCGCATTGCATTGACTTAAGAGTGCAGTTTCTTGTCGCCGGATTTAAGAGTCTTGAACTCTTGTTTCAAGCGGATTTTGCATTGATTCAAGCGGATTTTACATTGAAACAAGAGTCTAGACTCTTAAATCCGGCGACAAGAAACAGCACTCTTGAACCAAGCGGTTTTTTTTACCAGTGATCTTTGATCGTCCAACTGTTCACCCGTACTGGTCATTTTTAAGGCTTGCTATCTTTTATGCACCTACTGAATGCCTTTCTCCAAATTTGATCTCTAAAACAAGGAAATTTGGTCTAAAGTTTGGCGAAAGTCAGCGGATTTAAAAAAATAGTGGACATTTTGTTTGAAGGTAAGGGAAAGGCAGGGAATTAGTAAATGTTGGAGTCAGGGGAAAGCAAAAACTTTTTAGGATATTTGAATATTATGTAATATAATTATGGCAACCCTGCACCTCACTGTCTTACGGTTGTAAAAGCCACTTCGAGGAAGCTTTTATTTCAAGGCGAATTTCTGCAAGTGGATTTGGTTAAGTTTTCGACTTACTGACAAACTCTGGTGTAGCGAAACACAAAATCCCTCCCGGGGACGGTAAGCCATTCGGACGTATTTCTGTCAAACGGAACCATGTGCATTAAGACATAAGCCCTGAGACCCATAAGAATATATGCATAACAGGGCTCACGTCATAATGCACATAGTTCCGTTTGGCAGAAATACGTCCATTTTATTCTTTGACAGAGAAATTGTTGGTTGAATCTGTTTGAAAATTTCACTGAACTTTATCAGCAGCACAAAGAAAATTCAGTGAAATTTTCGGACAGCTTTGTCTAACAATTTCTCTTTAAGAAAATAAAATTGCGGCGGAAATTTTGAAACGGCGCATGGCGCTTGTGATACTTTGGCCGGAAGTTGATGATATGTAAAGGAGATTCTGTGAATATTTCAAGTCGTGGTGTTGGCTTGTACTCCTTTCAAAAAATGAAAAAGGAGCGGAGATTTTGAAATATCGCAAACCAGATACGCATTACAAGTTTACATACGAGTCTCATGGAGATGTTGCATGTGTGAGGAATTTGCGATTTGACTGTTGATTCTTATGTAAAAGTTCGCGAGAAACACGATGGTCGCACTGGTTTTCTCCGAAATCAACTCCCAAACTCTAAGAAAGCTCTCAAGTTGAGGCCAAAATGGAGGGGATATCCCACCCTACCCTGAGAGTCCACCTCTACATCATGATAAACTCTCCATGCAAAAATAGGGAGCAAATACATTGACAGGGCTGCCACTTCATTTGGGGACTCTACAACTGAAAACACGGCAACCCTGCTAATGTATTTTCTCCCTATCTGTGCATGGAGAGTTTGTCTTGATGTAGACGTGGACTCTCAGGACAGGGTGGGATATCCCCTCCATTTTGGCCTCAACATGAGAGCGTTTTTTGAGCTTGGGAGTTGATTTCGGAGAAAACCAGTGGCACCATCGTGTTTCTCGCGAACTTTTACATAAGAATCAACAGTCAAATCACTAATTCCTCACACATGCAACATCTCCATTCTCAGTGTATTGTCTCTCGTTGGATTTTTCGATGGAGTGAAACTAGAGAAAGCTGTGCGACAGAACTTGGTGGGAGTGCAACTTTTTCCCTCGAATCACGATGAAAATTCTATGACCTGAAATGCACAATGATGAAGTTCACAATAGGATCGAGTTTCGGAGGAAGGAACCAAGGACTTTGCAACCAAGTTCAGATCCCGCGACTTCCGCCGTCGTGCAAGAAAGCCCGAAAGTTTTGTCATTTTTTTGCTACCCTTAAAGGATCCTGTAAGCTTTATTGTGATGCGTGCTTTTTTACGGCAAGGAAAAAGTTTCGTGATCTTAACAATATAATTGATTCTCCTCCGCTGAACTCGGCACAATTAAGGTCAAAGTTGTTAGCAAAGTTCAAGGGTTTGCATCCTCCTCAAAGACTGTGCTTTTACTTTTTTTTTTGCGACAGTCAATTCAATTATTTTTTTTTCCTATTTGCCCGGTTTGCTGCGCTATAATGTTTAGTCAAGATGACACCTTTGTCAAAGTTGAGGCGCGATCTCTGAAAGGTTAAAAGAACGATTTCCTCCAGTAAATTTCGATTCTCGAACTTTGAGTTGGCGGGGTTTTCCGACCTCCGAGGTGACACTTTTTCTTGATTAAGTTGCGCTTTCTATAAGCTTCTTTTCCAAGCCGTGAACAATTTTTAAATTATTTTTCGAGGAAGGCAAGGATAGTAGTAAATAAACTTTGAGTTCATCTCCTCTTAAAAAAACCCATCAATTTTGATCGTATTACATTCACATATTCGTTCGGGATACTGTTCCGAATCCCAAATTATATCAAAGGAAATTAGTATTTTCAAAATTTTATTTATTTTTCCTTCGTTTTCCC